AACCCAATAAAGAAGTAAGTCTTCATGGTATGGGGACCAGATAGAGGACGTGCTACATGTGGATAAGTTTTGTGGAAGTTGAAGCTCAAATAAAGTTGTCCATCTGCTTTAAATTTTGACAAAGCCAAATGGGGGTCCCTATTGATCGTACTTCTTTGGATTGTGGCAGGCAGTATTTGCAGGACACAACCATGGATTGGACTGGTGCTGCCCCTACAAGAAACTTTGGCTATGTTATGCTAGGCATACTGGTTATGGTGGCTATGGAAATTGGCCTAGAGGAGCTAGAATTCTGGAGATTAATGACCAGCCCTTCTACATCAAGACATGGATAAGGATGGAAGATGGAAATGAACACAGCCAAATTATCCTGAGTCCTTGACAGGTTACCCCTGTAATACCACTGTCTGTCAATGGAGGAAAAAACCTCCTGTTATCAACCTGTGTGTAATGGTGGAAATGCCCTTTTCCCCACCTCTTTACCAGTAAAAGAAATTCAACCCAAAAGGTTGTAGAAGTGTAGACTAGTCAAAATGGATGAACGCGTTTAGACATGGAGAACGCTTGTCAAACATACCATCCCACACATGCTAGTGCTCACGTTAGCATCTCCCATCACCGTACAAGAATTTCTGGAAATGAAAAGGAGCCACTGGGCAACACAAACATTAACGCAGTGTTTTATATAGTTTCTAAAAGTATTTTTTATTTAGAAATATATTAAAATAATATTAAATAAAAGATTTTTTTTACACTAATATATTAAAATGATATAAAAATGTGATTTTTTTAAAATGTTTTTTGAAAAACACACCGATTTCATCCATTTCATCATATATTCTATCAATGATTTCATTGATTTGTTTTTGAGCCGGACTTTGTGCCCTTGCTCGCAAGTGGGATTCAGTCCTAGCATGCACAAAAGACTTACCTTTTTTTTTCTTATAAATTATTTATGAAAAATAATTTCTTTATTATAAATCTAAGTTAAAGTTATTTTTCAAAAACCACGTCAAACATGCTCTAACTGGAGTTCTTATCCTTTGATTTCTTGTTTTATAAAAACCCATAAAACAATTCAATATATTTTTAACTCTTTTGGGGTTTTTTTTTCTTTGCTTTCCTTTCGGTATACGTGTTGGGCTTTCCCAAAATCTAATCCAAAGCTACAGCTGACAGGCCACTCGTATCACCATAATACAAGCTTTAAGCTACTAACCCAATTGAGCCAGAATTTGATCTTGAATTACCCAGTTTCACAATTATATGGACTTGAGAAAGAATCAGAATCAGAATTTTGCATCCCATATGGGATCGGCTTGCTCAGCTCAAGATCTTGTGGAGGACTTGGAAGCGTGGCCCAATTGCTAATCGCCTTGTGTTCTAGGGGTTTCATGGTGATTGACAGTGTGGTTAAAAAGCTGTTTTTTAAAAATTTGATTTTTTTATTTTAAATTAATTATTTTTTTGATTTTTTTATTTCTTTGACATGTTCATATCAAGAATAAACTTAAAAAATAATAAAAATATTATTTTAATATATTTCCAATTAAAAAACACATTAAAAAATAATATCTACCTCACTACCAAACAAGCCCTTTAACTACAACAAGAATGCTCTATCAAAGAATCAATTTCACATTTACATTGTTTGTCTCAATGATGATGATGTGATTAGGCAAATTGATTAAATAATTTAGATGCTCCAAAGCATGTTATGCTTTCTTTAGCCTGTAATTAATTGTTTTAGTTGCACTTTGTGATTATTCAAGTAATCTGGATCATTATGCTCCATTGTTTTCTTACAAGGGACCATAGTTGAAGAAATCCATCAATGTAAATGTCTTTCGACATGGATTTCATTTCAACTAGCAGGCCTCGTCGTCTTTCCCAGCAGGAACTAGGGATCATAGCAGTGTATGGCTAGAATTGTCGAGACTTGAAACTCAGATAAAGCTAATTTGTACCTCAACTTTCTTGATAGAGACAAATGGGTCCGTACTCCATTGGATTTTGGCAGGCAAGAACTTGGAGGACATGCCCATGGATTCGATTAGCTCTGCCCTCTGCAAGAAATCAATAGGTTCTGGCTATGCTTTCGATGGCATACTGCTTATGATGGCATATATATAAGCAAGGACGGAAGAAATAAGTAAAACTTAGTGAAATTGAGCATCCCTTCTTTATTAATTCATTAATTACTCCCATCCATTATGTTGTGACTTCTTAAATTAGTGTTTGTTCTTTAAATTGTTGTTTATTTAAAAAAATATTAAATTTGCTTCTTTTTTTTTTAATTTTTTGATGTTTTTGATATATTAATATTAAAAACAAAAAAATCTAGAAATATATGTATTTTTAATTGAAATGTACTTTAATTAAATAATAATCATACATCACAAAATTAAACACATACTTAGTTGTATTTGACATTAATCAATATTTTTAAAAGTAAGATATTAAAGAGTATAGATTAAGAGGTGAAGTTTTACGGGTATAAAAAATAATAAAAAAATAAAGTTTTAAGAATGTTCATTAAAAAGTTGAAACAATATATGTAAGTGGGGATCTCAATATAAATAAAATCATTTTTAAATTTAAAACTTAAATAATATATATTTCTGTTCTAATGAAAGTGAGAAAAGAGAAAGAATAATTTAGTATTTTTTTTTTTAAATGCACAAATATCAACCTATCTCCCCTCTATGAAATGTTTACTTTTATTCCCTGAGAGATATTATTTACTCCGGATTAAGCATTATCCTTTATACTTTTTTCTTTTAAATTTTTATATAACAAACAAGTAGAATTTATTAGTATAGTATAATTTATTTTTTAAAATAATTTTTACTTATAAATATATTAAAATAAAATTAATATATAAAAATAATTTAAAATTAAAGAATATTTTAAAACTTTTTAAAAACACATTTCTACCGACAAAAGCAAGAAGCCAGTTTGTTTTTGCTATTTTGCTCTTGTGCAAGACCAAGCCAGGCCACCATTTATGGATCATGAACGGCGAGCATCAGAAAAGAAATAAACCGGAGAACGGGGGAAGGCCAAAGTCTGTGGATTTTGTAACGTCAGAAAAGCAGTGTACGGTTTAGTCAATTACGAGACAAATAAACTATCAATCAAGATGATGTGCTTACGTTATTTGTCTGTCTCCTCAGTCTCTGACATTTAACAGAACCAATTCATTTCCGTACCTCTTAATCTATAAGAATAATATTTTTTATTTTTAAAAATTTATTTTTAATATTAACACATAAAAAAATTTTAAAAACATAAAAAAATAATTTAAAATTAAAAAAATTATTTTCCTATTAGTTACTCTCTGATTTCTTTAAAAAAAATAGATACAAATAGAAGATAGAAATATTCAGTGAGATATTCTTTTTATTTTTGATGAGTAATGAATTCCATTTTCTTTTTTCTTTTTATATTTTTTGTTTTTTATAAAATAAGTCTAAAAAATAAGGATAAATTGGGCAACCATAAAATTAAAATAAACAATAAATTAACTTGATAATAATTTTTTTTTTGATGAAATAACATATTTTTTTACATATTATAATTTAGAATTATGATATTTAAATAATATCGTGTTTTATAACTATAATATTTTATAACTGCAATATTAATTACCTTTTGTAAATTAGTCAATTGGTTCATTAAACCAGTAAATACCAATTAAAGCTTTACTATACATTACACCTCCCCCCCAACAGTTTCTCCACCACACCATCACCACCACCCTTATTCGTAGCTCCAGCAACACCACCTAATCATCTATTACATGCACCACCACCCCCATCACATTCCTCCACCTTCACCCCCTCATGTTATTCCACCTCCACTACTAACACCAGGAAATTATTCAACTGCTATAATTGTCTTTTTTTTCTTACTTGCTGGTCTATTTCTTCTTGCACTCCTCTCAATGGCTCTTTGCTTCTTCATCATTTAGTAGAAATAGAAGAAAATAGCTTAGAAAATTGAGATCCTAGAGTTCAATGAGCGTACTAAAGTCCAAGAAGCCATTGTTCCAAGTTCACAAGGTGAGAAAATTATAGTGCTAAACATCGAAGAGGATGTGCATCTTTAGAAGAAATTAAAAAAACAAAAAACTAATTAAAGGTTCGCACTTTAAGTCGGCTCACCATTATCCTCTGGATTCTAACATAGCAACATCCTCTTCGTAGTCTAATTAGCACCTTATGGAGCACAGGCCGATCGAAACACAGATAAATAAAATAAATGGCAATATAATTGTATATTTCTTGTTAACAGTTACCAATATTCCTACTCTTGAAAGTACTCACATAAGATTATTTACATGAATAAGGCTCAACCACTTAACTGATACATCTGTTCATACAAAATTATAATGAATGCAGTAGTTATTAATCACCATATTAATTAAAATTTTATTACGGTTTTCACTATAATATTAATTTAAATATCATGGTTATAAAACATGATATCATTTAAAGATCTTGATTCTCAATAATGATATGCAAAAGCATATTATATTGCCAAAACTTTTTGGAAGTGTATTATTCTACCTAAATTTAAAAATAACTATGCTAATTTTATAATTTATCCAAAAAATAACTAATATGGTTAGTTTTTGAACTTATTTTAAAGTGTTTTTCACTTAAAAATATATTAAAATAATTTTTTTATTTTTTAAAAAAATTAATTTTTAAATAAAATTTTTAAAATTTAATAAAAATCCTGAACTTTTCTACAATAGTACCATAAACCTTTTAAAAAGAATTATATTAGAGTTTTGTCTTTTCCTTATGCTTTTTTTGCATCACTTTTATTTAAAAAAATTAATATAGATATCCAATTAATTTATATGCATTTTAATTAATCTTTAAGAAGCAAATACATAATTGGAGTAATTAAGCTACTCCCCTAATCATGGGTGGCTTTTCTTATATAGCTGACTTCTCTTACCACGACTATTGCTTAGCTAATGATGATGATAAACCCTTCGAAACAGCAACTTCAACAAAGAAGGAAGACCCCATCAGAACTTGCTCCCTTTTTTTTTTTTTTGTTTTTTTAACATCACGAAGTAAGGAAATCTTGAACTTTCCATAAGGTTTCAAGATTCAATCTTGTTTTACCAACGGTGTTCTTATATTTTTGATATAATGCTCTAAGAGGTAAGATTTTTTGGCACTAGTACATGTTTTTTCTTTTCTTTTTGTTTCTACCAGTTCTCGATCGATGCTTTTGCCTTTCAGAGTTGGATGTAACAGCTTCCAGAATTTGTTCAACAAATATTGTTTTTTAGTCTTCAATTGTAATTGTCAACTGAGAAAAGTAAAAATAAAAAGAAGGGAAGTTACTGAATTTGATATTAATGTGTCCGGAAAGGGTGAGGCTGGAAATGGATGTATTGGCTTTGTTTCCTAGAGCATTTCCTTGAAATAATTTGTGTTCTCTTTTCTTTTTTCCTCTTCCCTCCCTAACTTTTCCCGCTAGGGATGTCACTACTGACAGTTCTTTATAAATTTGGTCAAGGGTTTATGGTTTTTTTTGTGTGGAAATTTTAGGTGTACTTGAAGAAAATATGATGGTGTTCATTGAGTTTTGTTAGAGTGATTGATTTCATTTATCTTCAATGGCAAGGAAGAAGAGCTGGTTTGGTTGGGTGAGGAGGCTATTTGTCTCTGAGCAAAAACCAAAAGCAGAAAAGGTTAATGCTTCAAGGAATCTTTTTGTTTCTTTAGCTGAGATCTTGCATTTCCTTCTGGTTAAATTTTCTGCTTAATTTTAACCGATTCAGAAATCAAAGAGGTGGAAATGGGTTCTTGGAGGCCTCAATGTCAAACAATGGCTTGCACTTCCAGCTCCACAGAGAACAGTCAGTGAAGCATCAGAAACACAAAAAAAGTATGCTTTGACTGTTGCCCTTGCAACAGCAGCTGCGGCTGATGCTGCTGTTGCCGCTGCTCATGCTGCAGCTGAGGTTGTCCGGCTCACAGGTGCCTCACATCCTTCCCGTCATTTCACCAAAGGAGTGGAAACTTTGGCTGCCATTAAAATACAAAGCGCTTTCCGTGCATATCTTGTGAGCTCTCTGAAATCCGAGTCCTATTTTGCGACATAACTCCTTAGTTTTTCATCTTGATTTTTTGTGGGTTATGCTATATCTTGTTAAGACTTCTTGAGTTCATATAAGATGTTGTTGAAACTGCATTCAAGATAGACTGCTATTTCTCTAACCGTCGAATTTAATCCCTTTTTGTACTTCACGTGAGATCATTTTATGATTTTTGCATGCAAGATGGATGAGATTTTGATCGAGTAGATGAGAAAATTCCAGTCGCGGTTTAAACTCTAAAGTTGTCCCATGAGGAAATAATCTTCCGCAAGTATATTACAATGTTGCGCAGAGAATGATTTCATCATTTGAAAACTTCTAACAAGGAAAAATTCATATTATACCTCTCTTAGTTCACTCATTACATTAATAAACATTAAACAGCACTTTTAGCAGCGTATTCTGAGAAGTTTGCTACTATTTTGGTCTGAACTTCTATAAAGAAAGATGCTATATATTTTTTCTTATGAATCAAATTTAAGCTCAAAATGTTTTGGCAGGGTGTGGATTAAGCAAGTTGTGTAAGCTGATTATAAAACCAGAAATTTGTCAAATTATTCGCTCTGCTAAAAAAACATGCCTCACTGCCTGATTTGGGTTTTCAATGGGATTGAAACAGGCAAGAAAAGCCTTACGAGCACTGAAGGGATTGGTGAAGCTTCAAGCCATTGTTCGTGGACAAGTTGTTAGACGCCAAGCACTCATCAAAATGAAACATTTGCCATCAAATGCAAAAATGCGGTCAGAAGTCCAGGCAAAAGGCATTACTGCAGATGGATTTTGTAAAAGCAGTGAAAATAAACATGCTGTCAAGTCAAAGAAGGAGGTGCAAGAGAAGGAAACTAAGGTAGGAGAGATGATCTTGCAGCTCCTCAAGTCAAAGGAGGTGGTTGAGAAAGAACACAAGGTATGAAGGATTATTTGAATAAAGTTCTTATGTTTCTTGTGGCTCATGCTTGTTAGAGTGTATTCGAAAGAAAATTAATAAAAGAATGAGAATCTATAGACAAGAAAATGATTTTTAAGAAGCCATTTTATTTTCTGTTACGTCTAGGATATTTTCTCTTTGGAGAATGAAATACATGATCTCTGATTGAGCTTCATGTGATTAACAATATCCTTGATTTTGTCTGTTCATGGGAAGAACGATAAAAGAGAAATTCAAACAGATCATATGGTAAAATCTAATACCTGATTGACATGAACGAGCCTGCACATTCAAATTTGTGTAGGATGCCGAATTCTGCAGCTCAATTTGATTCATTTCAACATTTTTTCATTGGGCAGCTTGTATTGAACAACCAAAAGAGTTGGAATTTTAGCTGGCGTTCGAAGGAAGACGTGGAAGCTCTGTTGTTAAAAAAGCAAGAGGCTAACATCAAAAGAGAGCGAATGATGAAATACTCATTTTCTAACCGGGTAACTTAATCTTAAATTCCCTTTCCAGTTGCAATCTCTTTAGTTACAGCTTACAACAGGGAAATTAAAAAAAGAAGAAAGAAATAGAGCTATTCAATCTATTGACAACCAAATTAAGCATGAGTCCTTTTCTTCTTATGTTCAGATTCTGCAACATAATTTTTCTTTCAGGAGAGAGGAAATGGTCTATTGGAAGAACCGCAACTCGCCGAGGAAAGTGGTAGACAGAGTCACCAGATAAATCAGTGGCCGAACAAAGAGACCTATAATAGAGAAAGGATGGAGAATTTGAAATCAGCTCCCATCTCTAATTTTTTTACTGGTGATATATTCAGCCCAGCACAAGTTAAGACCAGAAGTACCCGAAAACAAGATTTTATAGAAGGGTTGAATACACCTGTGTCCTTCCCCAGAAGATCATTTGGCAGCATGCGACCAAATTTGGCTGGAGATGGTAATTCCTTGCCAAACTCTCCAGTTTTTCCTACTTATATGGCTCCAACGCAATCTGCAAAGTTAAAGGCAAGGTCGATGAGCACACCAAAGCAACGAGAAGGATTTCAAGATTCTTGCTTTGAGTAGAACTTGCCATGCAAGAATGGACTCCATCTTTGGTCTACATATAATGGTGAATCGTTTGGAATTAGAAGAAAAACTTGCAGCGTCTCAACGCTGTGCTGGAAGACTTCATTTTAATCTTTGGAGTCCATAACTAATTACTTTATTCCTTTTCTTTTCTGGTTTACCACCTTTTTTTATTTTTCCTTTTTGGGTGGAGATGAAGTGTGTGTTGGTGCTCATTTGACACCAAGTTTTCATGAGAAATACTCGGTGAATCCTCAATGTAAAGTTTTACGTGTGTTAAAAAAGAAAGAAGAAGCAGCTTGTAATGAAACTCTTTCAGTACATATCTGATCATTCGCCAAACCAGCCAAAACTTGCTAGCGCCCTGTTTCTCTACGTACATTAGAGTTGGACACGAATTATCTTTCAGCCTGCAAGAACACAGCTTCATGACCATGGATGATATATCAGTAGCTATGAACAATTTGTCTTAAATATTTCCACGGTTTTTTGTTCATGTTTTGTCATTGAAAATTTTTGTGGTACAATTTGCTTCGTATCCTGCAAAATGCTGTTTAGGGTTCATTACTGGTGCATCATAACCTCTGTGGTGCAGGATTTTCAATTACAGCACCTAAATACTATGGCTTACAAGTTATGACAAATTTGAATAGGTTAGCCTCACTTGAAGTTGATTGGTCTAGTTTACAAACCTACAAGATTACCTTCGACAAAAAACAAAAATTACAGAACTGGTGAAACTTTCTAAATAACTCCAATTAGGACCAAACCAAGTAGACATGCCTTTAGAATTAGATTTTTTTATATATATATATATAAACTTTTCAGGTGATATTTGCGTTGTCGTGCCTCTGCAGTTTCATATAATGGTTAAACCCACAATAACTTTAAGTGTACAGCAAAGATTTTGGATTAAAATCATCGAAGCTATATAATGAATGATATCCACTAGACTTAAACAAACCATTTTTTATTCTTGATTTATTCGGAGATCATATGATGCTATAGAAACATAAGTTTATTAGAAACAGGACTTTTCTTGCACAAAATAAATGGCCTGGCATATTCCCCGAATACACATATCATGGTGTTTCTAGTTAAGTTGAATTGGGAACTTTGGCTGTTTGCTTGGAAGAAAGAGCCCCCGGAATTTCTCTGATTCCGGTTGTTTTTTATTCTCGTCAAACGTTGCTAAGATGTAAGTTTCAATCGGCTTTCCGGGCCTCTTTGTAGTGTCATTCTTCACTAGTTGAACCATGTTTGTGTTGTAAATTCTTGCATTATCAATGCTGGTTTCCGGTCCTCCTCCAGCTGAGGGCCAACCGCTCTCTGATACAACATTCTCCAATGAACCTCCACCAGCCCTCTCAAGTGCAGAGTAAAAAGCATCCGACATTGCAACAAAAAAATTAGGGTATTGAAACGGTGGATCCTGTACTATAACAGATGGATCAGGTAAGGAAATTGAGCATAATAGAGGAATCTGTGTGTTTCCGGAATGACTGAAGTACGGGCAAATGTTTACGAGTAATAACGGATGGTTTGTGACCAAAAAGCTAATAGCAGGGGCTACAAGTGATTGGCATGCTGGGTCGAATAGGCCATGTGATGGAGGGTACGACTCTCCAAATGCACCAGCAATGGTAGCAGTAGTAACTTTGGTTCGATTCCTTAGACCAGCAGCAGAAATTGAATTGTGAAGGTTTTGAATGGCAGAGAAAAATGCTGAAGCAAATGGATCAGCCGGTTTCTCTTCATTTCCAACAGGAATATAACTGAACCTGACATTAGTGTATCTTATCACATTGTTTTGAACCAATGCATCTGCATTGTCTTGACTGGAAGCGAGGTTTGGAATGTCAATGTCTGGAACACCAAGGACGAGCTCGATGCTGGAGCCTCCAACAGCTTAAAGAGTTGCTGGGTCTGGATCATAGATTCTTATTCTTTGTATGTTGTACTGGTTGAAAAGAGCTATAACTTCTAGCTCGGGTGGTAATTAAGTTGTCACCTCCATAATCAACAGGCTCCCGTTTGAGCATCTGCAATACATTAAGAAATAAATATTCACTTTAGGTTTTGCTTTAAAAACATTGTATACCATATGTTCAACTGGAGACAGGAGCTTGTGGAAAAAATAAATATATTTTTTAATTAATCCTATTTCTTCTCTTTAAATTTGGGATTTTTTTTAAAATTTTCCTATTCATTATTAATATGATTTTCTCGTTTTTTTTTTTTTTTTTCTAAATCAAGGTTTATAATAACCATTTTTACTAGTGAGACTTGGATGGAAAAAATTAAGTATTTTAGGGGTATTCCTGTAATTATCATGTTTTGGTCTTTGAGAATATCTATAATTTTTTTAGGTTTTTAGCTCACAACAAAATCGACTAAGTAAAACTGTAGAATGGTTAATTTCGTGTACTGCTAAGACATGAAAGATTAAAATCTTGAAAATTAAGGATTCTGACTCTTTAATGTTGTTTCTTTGTGCCGATGATACGGTTAAATAGGACAGAACAAATCATGGTGGCTGTGACTCTAGGAAAAGAAAAGGAGTGAGGAATAAATTATAGAACTTTGTTATCTAAAGTGAATTCTGGTTGAGGAGGAACTAGGTATTTGGTTGGAATTGTACCGCGGGTTGATCCATTTTTTTCACAAAAAAATAAAAATTAAGATGGTATAAATGTTCTTAAAAATAAAATAAAAAATCTAGGATTATGATTATTGACTTTAATAAGTTTAATAAGCTTAAATAATTTAATAATATGATTAGAAAATAAGATATTAATAATAAAAAAAAACAACAATAACAATTCAATACATAAAATAATTGCCCACTAATATTATAGAAATATGTCTTTATAATATTTTTAAAATGTCTTAATGATTTTATTTGTTAATAAAGTAAAAAAATTAATAGGAATGAGATAATTATATAGGAAGAAAAATAAAAGAAACATGAATCTCAATTCCCAACGAATAAAATGATAAGAGAAAAATTTGAAAAACAAGCAATATCTAAAAGAAATTGACTTGAGTCTGTCCAAGCTATCACATGCATGAATTCTTAAAAATACATCCTTTTAAGGAACCACATGATGATTTTGCATCATCCGACTCAAGTAAAGATCAAATCAAATCTATAAACTAATTGTGGGACCAGGATAACCCTATTAAAAATAAATCATATAAAATTATGAAATTCAATTTTCAAACCAACTTAATATTAAAGAGTATAATTAAAAAAAATCAAAAAAAATGAAAAAAAAGCTCGAGACAATCCTAGCGAACCTGTTGAATTTATGATCCAAGACATGATATTGTGATAATTTTATTAAAAAAGATAAAAATAATAATAAATACTAATTTCAAACGAACCCAATAATAAAAAATGAAATTAAAAAAAATTAAAAAACCATAAAGAAGCCAACTCAATCTAATATTTAAAACCTATAATACAAATCATGAGGTTAAATTATAACATATTACTTATGATGTTAAATTATAACTAAAGCGAACTCGATCTAATAATTAACCATAAAATTAACAAAAACAATAATTAATACTCATTAAATTATTCATTATTTTTTCAATTCAAATACATTTAAATTCAAAATCCCACCCAGTTTTATTAAGTGGCCATTTAAATCAATTTTACCCAACACCCAAACAAACCATAAAATACAAATTCCTACATTAATATAACAAAATTATCATTAAGAATAAATAAAATATTTAAATATACAAGTACATTATAAATACTATAAATAATTTTTATTAAATTAACTTAAAATATAAATAAGTAAATTTATTTACACGATAGAGTGAAACATAAATGAGTGAAACTTGACAAAAAAAAAAAAACTAAAAAGAGGGAAGCTAAAGCCTTGGGAGATATTTTTTGCGCCATAGCAAGTAGGTGGTGGCGGCTGGATTTGTGGAGGTGATTCTTGGGTTTTAGTGAGAGAAAAAAAGAGGCCAAGGTTTCGGGTTCTAGAGGGAGAAACATGGTGCGGAGATTGCGTTTGAGTTAGCCTACCATCAGGTTATAATTTCTTTTAAAATTACTATCAGAATTTTTATTGATACTTTGATTGATGATCTGACATGTTAGAAATAATTGGTGAAAATTTTTATTTTATTGAATTTTTCATCTACGAAAAACTTCTATTGCATGTTCTTTCGGTAAATCACAATAAAATATTGGGTGTGGTTGCTTTTTTCTTCAACTATCTGGCAGTGTTCCAGCACAGAAAAGAGTAGGGTAAAAGGTTCCAGAAAGTACGCAGAAGATAAAGACAAATATAGAGTCCTGAAACCATGTTGCGATTAATTTATTCTCCTTCAGATTAATTTTATTAGCTTTACCATCTAACACTTACATCTGTCGCTCCCAAATTTGAAACGATTATAAATATGAGGAGGCAGCCCTTTAACGCAAGCACCACGAAGTTCACAAATAAGCTGAGTGATTTAAAAAAGCTATTGATATTGTTTTTTTATCTGAATAGGGAAATAATACTGGTTTGCAAATGTTGTGCACAGTGATGATTAGAAGAAGGCACAGCTTCCTACCTAACGAATGATGTAATCCAATTCAATAAGGAAACAGTTTTCTGATTTTTTTACTAGAAATCCTTAAAAAAATAGTGTCAAGTGAGGCCCCCATTATTAATTTCTTTCTGCGTAAACTGTTCCTTTCGAAGAAGCAAACTCTTTTGCATGGAATCTGTACAAGTTTACTCCTCGGATATCCGCTTCTCAACTGTGTTGGTGATGGATTCTTGGTGATACAAGCTTGACCGAGGAGGGCAATGATTATACTATTGTAAACACGTTATGTGAGCTTTCAGTTCTTCTTTGTTGCCACTGCCGGCCTGGAGGCTGTGGCACTAGCTGGCAAAAGCTTGCATGACTATTAGAGCTCAAGATTCCCAGAAGTAGGGTAGGTTTTATATTTATGAATCATGATTGCAGCTTGGCAGAAAATTCACATCAGATTTTTTCTGGTTTCAGAATCTATTCACTGCTTCATTTATAAAAAGAAAAAAGAAAAGGAAAGGTTGTTAAGAGGTTTACCAGCTCTGTAGAATCTGAGGTGCTGGATTCAAAGAGTTGAAGCCAGACTGAACATAAAAATAAAAGTCAATTACAGACCACATGAAGGCTAGCTCTAACTTGTCTTAAGGTCAATCGCATATGAAACAAAGGCTAACTGATGGCAGCCCCACGCAATCTATGAGCTCATGCAATGCCACAATAATTAATAGGATTAATGAATGATTAGCTCTAATTAAAGAATTGGATCACTATTTGGTTATCACGTAATGCATATGTAAATCTAACGTCATGCTGTGGATTTACTCATCATGGTTTAATTGTACTTTCGATCTCCTCTGCGCTTCGTTGACATCCATTTACGAAATAAATTAACATGGCGGAAAGCAACATGTAAATCTTGGTGCTAATGATCAAAACAGATTGGTTATCCATGGCTAGCACTGCGGCTGCTGCACCTCTCAATTTGAGGAATAGTATAACCTGACATCAGCTATTTAAATGGTTATGGATTTTATTTAAATTATATTTTGAAATTTTATTTAATAATTTAAATTTTTAAATTGAAATTATTTTTTAAATGATATTAATATCTTGATAATCAAGAGATCACATATTTAAATTTTATTTTTTATTTATATAATAAAAATTAAATAGAAAATAATGAGTATGTTTAACTTTTAAATCTAAAAAATTTTCATTTAATATATTAAAAAATAATACAAATTATATTTTTTTACCTAACATGGCTTTGCTTGTATTATAACTTTGATTTCTTGATGTTAGTAATTAACAATCTCCCTTGTTTCGCTTCCTGTGATGCAGCACATGATGGTTTCACCATCATGCACTCTACACGAGAACAGTACCACAAGTCTTGTTTGACCAATGAAGTTTCCACCATGTTCAGGGTACCATTAACATTAAACTACTTTTAATTAATTAGGTTGGTAATTATTGTTAATGAAGTAGTTAAATGCAGAAAATCGATCGGCCATGAATAAAAATGAATTCATGGCCCCTAAATGATCTGGGGTGGAGGGGAATTGCATGACATAGAGATTAGTTACTAAAAACTATTGTCATTAACCCTTCGAGCTGTCCTTATAATGTGATGTCTTCTGAAATGGTCTGGGAAGTGGTCCATTTCCCTTTAAATCGAATCCGAATCTGTTCTGCAAGAAACATAACATAAAAAACCATGTCCTTTTTCTTAATTTATTGGTTACAGGACTAATGGATTTTGAACCAATATTAATAATGGCATTTCTCCATAAAACATGGGGCTGTTGTGCCATTAGATAGACAAGAACAAGCACCTATGATACCGCAGAGGATATATAATCAAAGCAGCAGCAGAAACCATCCACAGTTTCTTGTTTCTAGAGCATGAAGTGTATTGGCTCTTAGAAATCGAACCAATGCTTAATGCTGAGTCCTGCTGACAAGGAAGAGAACCTTGAGCTAATTATTACCTAGCTTGGTTAAGGTAAGAACGATTGGCAGTTAATCTTTGAGTCATTGAAATTGAACTCAGTTTATGATCAGGTGATTTAAATAATAGCATTATACCCTTTTTTATTTACTATTATAATATGTATTTCTTCAATTTGTGTACTTTGGACATTTAAAAACTCTTCACACACGCATCTCTTTCCTTGATGGCTCATCTTGTCTTGTTTTGTGGCAAAACTGACTGCACACACACACACGCGTATATATATATCAGGTAATGATTAAGGTTCACATTTCACTGCTTTGAGCAACGCATAGTACACAGACTGGAAGAGAACCGGACCTAGCTGAATCAAGAGTCTTCAGAAAGTGAGTTTCTTTCTTGCTTCATGTATCTCTTCTATATTTGCTTTGAAATACACTTCAGAGTACAGCTTTAATGTAAAGAAAGTAGCGAATCCTGGGTTTTTCTCCTTTTGCTCATGTTTCGTCTTATACTCCTGTGTCTCAGGTGGAAACATTCCTAATTTGGGTTTTTATAAGCTTTGGTTGGCGCGAGTTTCAAGCAAGTTGACTGTATGGATGAACACAGTTCCTCTACCCCTAATTCTACGTTCGGGATCTTCTCAGGAAATCCCATGAATTGGGATTTCATGGATGAGATCTTGTATCAAGGATGGGCCGAGAACGATGGAGAGTTCAGCTTTCTGCAACAAGGTCCCGCCACCTCTAATGTTCTATATGACCACCCTTCACTATATATACCTTTTATGGGGTCTAATAATTTGAGTATAGCCTCAAACCAGCAGGATTATCAAGAAGAAACAGAAAGGCATTGCCATGGAAATCCACCTCTAGATTATCCTAAAAGCATGGAACTTGTTCAGACTGAACCTCAGGTTGAGGATTCTGTGGACACTTCCACGTCTTTACTGCACACTACAGGTTATCGAGTAGAAGCCGCTGGATTGGGTTTCGAATGGCAGATGGTGCCGAGGGTAAATCCAGTGACTTCATTTTCTGTGAAGGAGAGAGCAATGCAAGCCATTATATACTTAAAAAATTGTATCCAATATAAAGATAGTCTTATCCAGATTTGGCTACCTGTGGAGAAAGAAGGGAAAAAAGTCCTTGCTACTATTGATCAGCCATACTTCGTCAATCCGAGTTGTAAGAGTCTTGCAAGTTATAGAAATGTTTCAACTGCCTATCACTTCCAAGTAGAAGGGGATGCGACATTTTCTGTAGGGTTCCCCGGTCGGGTTTTCTTGGAGAAGCTGCCTGAGTGGACTCCTGATGTAAGTCTCTTCAGAAGTGAAGAATATCCGCGTAAAGATCATGCAATACAACATAACATTAGAGGGTCTCTTGCACTCCCTCTTTTCAAACAAGGCAGTGAGACTTGCCTGGGCATAGTCGAGATTGTGACTACTTCTCAGAAGATAACCTATCGTCCAGAACTAGAAGACATCTGCAAAGCTCTCAAGGTTTGTTCGCTTCCCATGTATCTTGCAAAGGATTTCAATTAGCTATCAAGTTTAACAGTGAGACTATTGTTATATAATTCATGTTAGTTCTGTTAGTTGCATATAGGCTTAATGTTTCTTTCATTTCAAATCCATTGACTTGCATTGAACTTTCAGATCTTTGAATGATTGAAATGCCTTTCAAAAGTAACAATGGTTATCAATTTCTTTAAGCCTGTGAAATAAGCAGAGAACTTAGCTCATTTTCTGGTCTTTACATGCATGTTGATTTGCAGGCTGTTGATCTAAGAAGTTCTGAAGACTTCTGCTCACCTGGTGTGAAGGTAAGTAGATAGGCCTTTTAGAAACAGAGACACTAGATTCAGGTTTCTGAAGTTTTCAGCGTTCATAACTAAGACCACAACTGCTGTTCCTTTTATCACAGACTTGCAATGGATTAAATCAAGTTGCAGTGCCTGAGATATCAGAGATTGTGAAATCTGTTTGCAAGACATATGGATTACCCTTAGCTCTAACATGGACTCTATGTAGCCGGCAAGGTAAAAGTGGACGCCAGCAGTTTGCTGAGAAGTCTGGCGCTTTTATATCCACCGTGGATTCTGCTTGCTTTTTGGCCGATAGAGATTTTTCAGGTTTTCACATGGCAAGTTTTGAGCAATACATTTTCCTAGGCCAAGGGATTGTGGGGAAAGCATTCACAACACAAAAACAATGTTTCGCGAATGATGTAACTTGCTTCAGCAAGAAAGATTATCCTCTGGCTCACCATGCCAAGATATTTGGTCTTCATGCTGCCATAGCGATTCCCCTGCGAAGCATTGCTACCGGATTAGTTGAATTTGTGTTGGAGTTATTCTTGCCAATAGATTGCAAAGACACCGAAGAACAAAAGAAGATGTGGGATTTATTGCCTATTGCCATACAACAGGTTTGCTGGAGTTTACAGGTTGTCATGGACAAGGGGCTCGATAATGGAGAAAATCAGAGTTTTGAATCATCACATTCGAAACAACCTTCATTGGATGAATCATCTTGGATTTCCCGTATGGTGGAGGCCCAAAAGAAGAGTAAAAGTTTCTGTGTCACATGGGGCTATCCAAAAGAGCCTAAAGAAGAGTTCAAGATGATAACTCATTGGGATGACTCTGCGGTGGAATTAGACCATAAGCAAGTAATTTCGGAGTTGGGTCAACTTCAGCAAAATTCTAGACCCAATAGCAATACCGAGGGTGATGGAGTTTCTGCTTTTGGCAGACATCTCTCATTTGGCAGCAGAAAAACAGGTAAGAAGAGACGGACCAAGACAGATATCCAGACAATCAGCTTGGAAGTTCTTCGACAATACTTTGCAGGGAGCCTCAAAGACGCTGCTCAAAGCCTCAGCGGTATGCAAATATCCTATCACAGATGAAATCACATGTTCATATATAAAGTAATGAGTAGCATTTCAATTTTAGATCTGAGGCATCCTTCATTACAGAATTATCATTACATTACGCAGACAAACATTTGCTGGAGACCAACTTGATATAATCCTCCAGAAACCTTTATTATCATTTTCGTTTGTAAAGCTAGGTTGTTGTCTTCAATAATCCTTTATTAGAGGACTGTCATTTGTTAGCTAATCAATGGTGTGATCACACTTCTTGTTCTAATTGCAGTTTGCCCTACTACT